CTGTGTGAAGAGCATATGGCACTATTGAAGAAGATAATGCCTCATTTTCACCTTTAAACACACACATTATACAGTGTAGTGCTTTGAAAAGACATCTTTGCTACCACAGTGCTCGTCCAACAGGTTCTTTAGGGCCAAATATGGCTGTTATCAGCGGCCGCAGCATGACTGCAGTTCAGAGCAACTGAAAGTGTCAGAGGAAGACAGATTAAAACCAGCAGCTGTAAGAAAACCATTGAGAAAAAATGTGTTTGTCTTCCTCTCACGACGACCTCGACTCACCCACTCACATCCTGCATATCTAATCCACTCAAGACGGAAGTGAAGAATGAGAAGAGGAGAATATGAGGATGAGGAGCGTCTTGTGATGAGATGAGACTCTCAGAGAGGATGGAGGACAGAAACACAGCCATGATCGTGTTGCTCCTGCTCTGCGTCACAGCAGGTAAAAAACACAACATGTTATTCATTAGTATTCAGATTTGTTTTTAAATGTTATCATACGCACAACAGTTACCGGGTAGAATAGTCTCAGAGTGCATAGGAACTTCAGACATAAAAATAAATGTATTTGTATAGTATCCTATATTTTGTTATTGTTGGTCTAAGTTGATCAATTACAGTATATTCTAATGTATTCTGTGTGTATTGTATATAGTGTTTTCTAAAGATACTTTTAGATTGTTTGATTTATACTGTTGATATGTATGTGTTTACTGTTTATTTTTAATTTGTTTAACTCATGCAAAATGCCTTACATGCTGCTCTAACAAAGCAATTCCTAATTAGGGATCAAAAGGTATATTTAATCTAAATAAAGAAGGAAAATAGTGCAAATGACACGATGCAGTTAAAATGTATTAGATGAGACAGAATGCTAAATTAACAGTAGGATAAATACTCTATACTTTAAATTAATATACAAATAAATACATATATATTGTCTGAGAATATTGAATACTTGCTAAACCTTAAAAAAAAGATTGAGTCCATCCTCTATCAAAGCATTAAAAAGCAATAAGCACTCGTTTTAAATGACATGATTTTGACATGAACGTATATTGATAACCTGATTTTGCTTGCTTCTATTAAATCAAATAATTATTTAAACACAGTACTTGTAATTGTATTGTTCTATTTCAGCATGTTTTACTATATATTTATTTTGCAAACTCTTTGAAACATGTCTCCATTAAACTCAAGATTTAAAGTGATTCTTCATAAACTCACTTTTACTTGTTAATTAATTCTAAATGATACAATCCTGTGAGTTTTAATGCGATAGTAGATTAAACATTTCTTTAGTGGAGTGCAGTCCTCTAATCTCATACAAATCTATATTTAAAATCTATATAATGATTTGTTTTAATCCAATTTTGCAGTTTTAACTTTCATTATGTATGTTTCTACTTCATCTGTCTCAATGACGTAACGTTAAATGTATTTTGTCCCACTTTTGTCTGACTTTCTGTTGTAATATATATACCTGTGTTTTTAAGTTGATCTAAAGACAAAATGTATACATGCATGATTGAACACTGTACAAAAAAAGATATTGACAGATATACTTTATGTTAATCCTCTCAGAGATGCGGGTAGACGGCTTCTCTGTGGATGTGTGTGCTAGCTGCCATCCTAAAGCTACATGTGACGAAAAGTCAGACGGATCTGGAAAAGTCTGTAACTGCATGTACGGGTTCGTTGGCAATGGGAGAACTTTTTGTCAAGGTAGGACACATCCTACGTATTATATGCATAGTGTGAACTGAACTGTATGCTATTAGGTAGGTTGTGTTACTTGCTGTGGAAATTGTGTGCATTAGGCTACATGACATTTAGCCGATGCTTTTATTCAAAACGACTTAACAGTTGCAATCAATTGCGGCTCCAGAGTATTTTTGTTGGGTAATCTATGGTAGGG